TTACCAGAAACAAAGAACAGCAAAACAAAACAAAGCAAAAAAACCCTAACAAACAAAAGACCCCACCCACCCCGAAAACCCCGAAACAAAACAAAACACAAACACAAAATGAAACAAAACAATCAATAACATAATTTTTTGTTGAAAAGGGAGTTAACTCTTGGAATAACTTCGGCTTCGGTCGTACCGGTTGTCATCAGTCGCTCTGTCTGTCTGTCTATCGTGACGTCCAAATGAAACCATACCAAGAGACAGTAACTTCAATTAATTTATAATGTGGAGAATTGAAATTACGTAGCTTTAGTACGTGAGACAGTCACGGACAAACAGATGACCGGATAGGCAGACACACGCATACACAACATACACACGCACGCACGTTGGCACACACACACCACAAACGTTCATCCATCCGTCATACACACATACATATACTTGAACTCGTCCGTTGCGTCCGAAGAGCGAGTTGAATATCACCAACGGCCATTACTTACACTGGGTTCACGTCCTGGTCCAGTGTCTCAGCACGGCAATCACCATGACGCCCACCATCAACCACAGGTGCACCATCTGAGCCGTGGCCCCGGCGCTGGACATCGAATAGTCCTTCTGTCCCTACGAATGTAATAGAGATTTAGTGGCTCTATACGTATGGCAGCTATATATACTACCGTCAAAAATTAAAGGAAGAAATTAAATGAGGGTTTAATGAAGATAAATGACTGCAAAATGAATAAGGAGCGTGTAGATCAATATGATCATGGTGCCTGCCATGTTGGGTGATGTATGTACATCATCTTGATAGATCCGTGAAGATCTGGGTTAGAACTGATCTTCAGTAGCCCATGCTTGTCGTAAGAGGCGACTATCGGGGTCGGGTGGTCAAGCTCGCTGGCTTGGTTGCTCATGCTGTTGATCACTGGTTTCTCTGGTCCAGACTCGATTACTTACAGACCGCCGCCATATAGCTGGAATATTGCTGAGTGTAAAACTCACTCACTAACTCATCATGATGGTTTCACGTTGATTAACGTGTATATGGTTGCTCTTCGTATTGCCCGCTATTCGACCTGAAGAGTAACCCCAAGCCGAGCGTTGGGTCTCTGCCCTAGAACATCCCCCTAAACGCTTTATAGGGAACATATCAGGGTTTTTAGCCTGTCCAGTGTTCTTATGTATTCTTGCAGCTTGCAGGGGACAATTTCTGCCAATACTTCTGACAAATGGACGACAGGAAGGTAAATCTACCTGGGCTGTGTGGAAGATGTTAGAATTCGCCTTCTTGTTGTGCGGAATTCAGATAATTAGTTTTAAAAAATCAAATTGTATTTTTGTAGGTAGTACTGAAACAAATGAGCAGTCAAGCTAATGGATCACATGACTGGCTCAGGTCTGGTCAAACTCAGTATTTACTGAAACAATATCATTTTACATACCAAAATCTGGCCCATGATCATCTTGAAACACAGACAAATCGTTCATGCGTTTCAGTGCATCGGGAGAAAATGACTCCCAAAAGCAATCCCAATGTTTTATGTACCCATTCGGAAGTATTTCATGTGGTGCCATATTACAGTGGATGAAACGGAGTACATGTATATATTACCTGAGGTTCCAAATGATCATAATCTCCCATCTGAAAAGGAAAAAAAATGGTTTTCGAGTGTGGTATAGGAGAAGAGTCTTAATACATAGCTAAACCAGTGAAGAGATGTGCGTCAGAAGAGAGAAAGAGTGTGTTTGTCGGACATGCGCACAGACCAGCTATTGGATGAAAACATTTGGCGAAGACTAGTACAGAGGAGTGAATGTCGGTTTACTAAGTGCCTGTCCGACCAACACGCCGCGATATCATTATCTGGTCGAAATTAACAACCGAGAGAAGGACGGGTTGGAACTTCCACACAATCCCTCCTGAATCAGACCCTGATATCCAAGTCTCTCTCTCTCACACACACACTTACACCACACACACTCTCTCTCTCACACACACACACACTCTATCACACACACACACACACCCTCTCTCTCTCTCTCAAATCAATAATAACAAAGAAGACGCCACAATTCTTGTGCAAGGTTGCCTCCTGTGGGCGCACCAGGATCCGATGATGGACCCGATGTTCACTCACACTTTTGGTTAAGCTAGGGCAGTCTCAGACCTGCATGCACTACTCCGAGAATTCATACCAAACTGACCCGCCTGGGTGTTACTACTTCTGTTAAAACTAACGTGTTCAGCTGTTTCTTCACCTTGAATTAACTGTTTCCTTACCTTGAATTAGCTGTTTCCTTACCTTGAATTAGCTGTTTCTTTACCTTGAACTAGAGAAATGATCAACCGACTTTCTCAGTTGCGTGTTGGTGCTTGGTCTGCCCTGCGCACAGTGCAGGAGACAAGTACCGCACGTAATACCCTGTTTGACATTAACCAAAGTGTTCAGCCAAATGGGACGTGTCAAGTATAGTTTCATGTGAAACATTTACACACTTTGTGTCTCATTATTCGGTAATTTGGAGTAATTAACTTCGGACGTGTCAAATTAATGCTTCCTATATGATGACCTGGTTGAAGTTAATAAATCCAAATTACTGAATAATTCGACTAAAACGTGGATGAGCGTGTAATATATAAGCACGTATGCATGTAATATATATGGAGTGGATGTTACGCTTTTCAGTTCCAATCCTGAACAAGAAATTGTTAACATCCTGTATAAAATGTCGCCTATTATGTCACACAGATTACATCTGTGATACCCCGCTGTGATTTCAAATGTCTCCACAATCAGTTGCGCATTTACACTGGTTGGACCAAGCTATTGCTGGAAGTCAACGCTGCAACTCAGCGGAAGGAGATCAAAATCACAGGGGCGTGTCACGCTTAGAAACAGCGTTAGAAAGACATATAGGTACATAGACCCTACCTTAGTACTATATAAAAGGAACTAGGGTAGGGTCTATGTACCTATATGTCTTTCTAACGCTGTTTCTAAGCGTGACACGCCCCTGTGATCAAAATGACACCCTCCACCCCTCATATATACTCCCCATCAACAGTTTATATTCACTTTAAACACTCACTATATGTTATGTATATATATGTGGTTACATCAAGATGAATTTATCCACTAACTTGGGGGAACCAACTGCAAATCTTCTGCAGATGAATTGCACGAGGATCATGCATCAACTTGCTGAAAGGTATGTGCAAATATCGTGTATGTGAACAACTGCGTTTTGGTGTAAAGTTTTGTTAAGAATTCGCCAATTTTCACTGAGTTTCATCATTATTGAACTCATGACAATAACCTTTTCAACGTTACGAATTTGTTTTACAATACATCAGTTCATGTGTAAACAGTACCCTTGAACTGTACAGAATGTTTTGCAAAATCTAGTTTAGATCAGTTGTCTGAAGTAAGTGGCTACATTTAAACTAGTGAGTCTAAACTTTTGATGGGGAGTATATATTGGACGATACTAAACAACATGCTTTCGACCCCGAACTTCTACCTAGCTCAACTTGACCTACGTCCGTATCTCTTCCCTGTCGGGGCCGTTTCTGGTGTCCCTCTGATATTGCTGGAATATTGCTAAAAGCAGCGTAAAACCACACTCACTCACTCACTCTCTTCACTGTCCATGGCTTACAAAATAGGTGTTTACGGTGTCTGTGTTATTTACAAAGAACCCAAAGGATCTGTAATGTTGTGGCCACCTGTTTTTTTCTGATGGCCATGAGTCTGCTCGTACAACCTCGCTGCCAACGGAACCACCTAGTATGGCAGAATACCGCCATTTTCAGCAGCAGACGACATGAGGGTTTGTGGCAGATGATAATGTGGCCAAAGTGGGCAGCAGAGGGTTAGTGTATTTGTATTTGTGTGTGTTCTGAAACACATTTCTTCATGTTTGAAATGCTGACGTTCAGGTAACAAATGTATAATCTCTATTTGGGCAGCTTTGTAATGCATGCACAAATAAACAGGATGTCAAGAGATCGATTGTGTTATGTTTTCATATATCTTTGTGTGTAAACCCAGGATATTTGGATGCCTGATTTTCACCAGTCAGAATTAAGCAGTCTTCAGTGTGATATAGAAGAACGCTGGTTTATATAAAACAGAAAAGTTAAGGTCCTGCACCATTCTACTGTATTATTTGGACGTGTGTATGATGTTAGTTGTAGTATGCAATATTCCTGCGGTATTCAGACTATGTAAACAAGCGGTCATAAAACGCCGAGGTGTACGTTGACAAACAATCCGACAGGACACATAATGAGACACGGATCCTAAATGTAATTAGACCTCCATTATCATAACCTATTTTAGCGAACAAAATAGTCCATCAGCTGATTTGGTGAATGGTAGCTGGTTTTGACGTTCTGGTAAGTCTTTGGACTGACCTTACAGTCAGTTCGCCGTGGCGAGTTGCGTACCTTAGATGTACCAGAAACCAGTTATCCTGGACTCACATACTGGTTCGCCCTTTAACATGATTCTCGTGTTGTCAGCACCATACTAGTGTTAGGTGGTTTCACCAGCATTGTTGGAGCGGTGGGGTGTCTAATGGTTAAAGCCTCCGCTCGTCATGTTGAAGATTGGTACAATGAGTGAAGCCCATTTCTGGTATCCCCTGCCGTGATATTGCTGGGATATTGCTGACAGAGGCGTAAAACCCAACTAACTAACTCACTCACTCACTGCAGTTGTAAACATCGTATGCCTTCAGCACCTTGAGCAATCTTACTTCTCTTACTGTAGCCGGATGAAAATTGCTACCTAAAAGATTTAAAAAATAGGGGTCCACTCAAAGATTGGGTTTTCTTTTACGCCGCTTTCAGCAATATTCCAGCAATATCACGGCGGTTGATACCAGAAATGGGCTTCACACATTGTACCCACGCGTCTTCATCATGACTAACCATTAGGCTACCCCACTGCCCCCAGCTCAAAGACATCCAAACGAACTAAGAATCATTTTAAAAGAAAACATCCATTTGTGAAAAACGTTTATTTGCAATATTAGTGACAAACTCAAAATCAAATGAATTTGTCGATTAGGCTCGACTCTTTTCATTAAATATAAGACACATATTCACATAAAAGGCATAACGGTAAAGTGACATGAGGTTATCTTCTCTTAGAAGAGCCGTATGTGAGATACAACCCAAACAGACAAAGATTTGTACATATAGTGCCAAACGACGAACACCGGGGATAACCAACGTAAGCAAATGGGAAGATCTTGACCAAGGGACGCAACTCTGCATCACGCCCATGTAAGCTTAGCAATTGACAATGGGAATTTCTCTTTGATTTCTTTGGTTTTGCAGCATTTCATAAGCTGTCGAAAGCCATAACGAAAATCTTTGCCAAGAAACCATACAACGGGAATGAGGGCGCTCCGTGAAACGCGAAGGAAGTGTACAATTCGGCTTCCTAGTATATACATATCACATTCTTCATCGTTAGAACAATTGTTATCCCCGTTCTTTAACTTAAAATACATCTGCAAGGCAAAAACTGGAAAACTGAGAACCACTGTTAATATACTGACTAGCAGCACGTCAAACATGAACTCACGTCTTTCATCTTCCGGGTCACCGCGCGGTACGCGGTTGTCTCCCCTTGACGGAAATGATTTACCGCATACTGAGCCGCAAATTGAAATATTTCTTCTGTATAAGACAAGTACTGTTGTCAGAAATGATGTCATCACTAAAAACAGACACATTAATGGATAGGTAAGCAGTAGAAGAGCCACGTGGCGTTGTGGAGATATTGTGTACATGCAGGGATGGCCTCTTATAACGAGGGGCTCTATTATAACGTGGTATAACGGGATAAACCCCAAACACGCCATGGCCCATGGGAGGATCATCAACGCAACTGCGATGTATGGACGTTTATAACGCTTGTCAAACAGGGTTGTGCAAACTGTGAACAACATGACAATATTCAACATGCTGAGCGCTAGCCAGGTGAACGCCGGGTGGAAGCTTGAGTCGTACAGTTCGGCAAACAGTTTCAGTTCGCAGAAATGAATCCATTTGTCTCTAATGTTGAACTCTGCCAACAGAGGGAGCACCGCTACTGAATAGATGAGGTCAGCAAAGGTCAAATTGAGAACATGGATGTACTTGGGTGATGATCGAAGCGATTTGTCACTGACGATGACGCAGATGATGAGGAGGTTGATGATTGTGATGAGAAACGCTAGAACTATGTGTAGAGTGGTTTCGACTGACTGGTCCCCGTCGAGAAGTTCAACATCGTCGTAGTAGGACGTGTCGTTGTCAGGGATGCTCTGGAATGAGTAACAGTGAAGTGAGAGAAGGTCGTTCTACCTCATAACCTGCACCAATCTGACAGATATAATTCAAAACCTTAAAAATACAATACATACATAACGTTCTGCAGTATTCAACAATAATACGGCAGCCGAATAGTCGACAGCATGCCACTGTAGTATGTCAACACATTATTGCAGGGACCCGTAAACATCCGGGTTACGATTGGTCTTCAGCAACCATGCATGTCATAAGAGGCGACTAACGGGATCGGAGGGTCAGGTTCGCTGACTTGGTTGACACATATCACCGTATCCCAGTTCCATAGATCGATGCTCATGATGTGAATCTATAGACTGTCTGATCCAATTGCGATTATCTACAGACCACCGTCATATAACTGGAATATCGCTGAGCGCGTCGGTAAGCAGCAGACAAGTAAACATTACTGCAGGTCCCTGTTATAGTCTGTTTGCAGTGAAAACGTACCGATGAATTTCACTTTCAACAAAAAAGTAAATCAAATAAAGTGAAATTAAGATTGCGAATCCTCATAATTTTTCCTTGCGAATTGAACATTTGAATCTCAGAATTTTATTCATCTTATGATAAACGTTGTTTAACAAACGATCATAGATTCAAATCGCTATTATTGGTTTGTATTACAAGGGGATAAGCGCAGTAGTTGGAACACTGAAACAAATGCAGTGCGGTACGTGATGAGCGTTAACTTAGACCAACCCTACTTGATCTCGGTGTTTCATTTATTGTGCATACACCCTTGTGTATTTAAATGTTCAGTTGGCAAGGTACAATTATGAGCATTCGCAATCTTAATTTAACTTTATTCGATTTACTTTCTTGTTTAAAGTGAAATTCATCGGTACATTCACTAGCAAACTTAACTATTGTACAAAACCCAACAGGACCGAGATAAGAATAGTTCTCCAGAACGCTATTGTTCGTCACACCAGGTAACTAAATTTGATCAGGCTTGGTTGATTGTTGATCATCGTTACCTATGTTGTTACAATAACAACCGGTCTTTGGTCAAAGACTTTTATATCAGGGAGAAAAGACGGTGTAGATTATCCCTGATTATATACACACCATGATATTGGTAGAATAGTGTTGCTTATGTCATACAACAACTATCAAATCTCCGATGAGAATGGGCTCTGAGGGAATGACTCTAACTTTGAATCCCAAATGAGGAATTAAAACAAATCAATGACAATTATTGGCACTGAATCATATACGAGCAACGTCGATATGAAGGAGAATTGCACAGACCACTTCGGCAGTATGGCTTTCCGAAATGGGCGGGCCGCACCGTAATACACATGTGAAATGAATATTAAAATTGTTGAAAATAAAACTATTTTATTTGATATTAAAACTGACAGCTTAACCTACTTAGGCTTGATTTGCAGGTAAAGGGACATAACTCTTGGGAACTTAATTTCCCCCAGCCTTCACCTCTGGTCCAAGGGAGATAACCCTTTTTATTAAGGTGCTAAGGGCCTTGTTTATGTTTGTTAATGAGCTAAGGGGCATGACAGTTTCAAGGTCACCTTGGAACCATAGCAGACGAAAATAATATGCAGTGAGAATTTGCAGTAAAAAGAAATGGAAGACACAGATTCCTTCTGTATCAGTGAGTGGGGTTCTTCATCAGGACTGAGTAGCATTACTCTGGACATTCTTTCCAAGGAAGAAATTGTGTCAAAGCAGTGTTTATTGAGATTATCAACAGATGATGTGCTTGAACTGAAACTGCCTCTTGGGCAACGTAATGCTCTTTTGGAAGCTGTGAAATTGCTGCGGCAACCTTCAACAACTACATTTCAGCAAGAATGTGGAACTAATATTGACAGCAGTGCTGGAGTAACAACTAGGGATTTGTCTAAGATGGTTGAACTCAATGACTTACTAAAGGGAATGTCGGCCTACCGGCCTACCTTTAGAATACAGCACCACAAACTTTAAAAATACGTCATAATACCCTTTTACGTAATGTAATGTGATTTTGTTCGAAAGCACGTTCTGGAAACAATGCCTTATGACGCCTGCATGGCAACACGGTTGTCTGGCTCAGCGAGTGCGTATAAGCTCCGCTCACTGGTGTTTCATCTCTACGAGCTATGTCATTGCATAAGCCCAACGATGTTGAGAGTTTCCAGTAGTTGTATACCGGCGGATGCGCAATATTTTGCAAGCACCAGTTTGAAATATTTTTCTTTTTTCACTAATACGCTCATATTTATTTGTATTACGGGCTGCTGAGGTGTTATGTTTTGTGTATTTTGTATTTTTTAATTTTTTAAATTTACATATTATATATTTGTCATTCAGTAATTTGCACCATTACATAGAAAAGTGTTTTATTAGTATTTTATTTTTCGAAGCGGTAATAATGCATTACACTAGACACGTCAGTCGTGTTTGCGCCGGTTCGGTCAATGCATTCTATTTATTAGGATTAATTCAAGGGATTGGGGTTAGGGGGCTAGGGCTAGGGCTAGGGCTAGGGCTAGGGCTAGGGCTAGGACTAGGACTAGGACTAGGGTTAGGGTTAGGGTTAGGGTTTAGGGTTTAGGGTTAGGGTTGGGGTTGGGGACCTAATGCAATATATAGTAGGTACATGTCCGGTGGTTCGGTCAATGCATTCTATTTATTAGGATTATTTCAAGTGGTTAGGGTTAGGGTTAGGGCTGAGGGTTTAGGGTTTAGGGTTAGGGTTAGGGTTAAGGTTAGGGTTAGGGACCTAATCCAATATAGCAGGTACATGACCGGTGTAATACGTGAGTACCATTTGTTGTTTTTCCTTTTTGCATTTTAATACTTTTATTTCACACAAAAACGGGAAACCAAAAACGTCGAAAGTACATTATGAAATGGGTTAATGTAGACATTATTATTATTATTAAAGTAAGACTGCATTACACTAGTCAGTCGTGTTTGTGCCGGTTCGGTCAATGCATTCTATTTATTAGGATGAATTCAAGGGATTGGGGTTAGGGTTAGGGTTAGGGCTAGGGCTAGGGCTAGGGGCTTAGGGCTTAGGGGTTAGGGTTAGGCTAGGCTAGGGCTAGGCTTAGGCTTAGGGTTGGGGTTGGGGTTGGGGTTGGGACCCAATGCAATATAGTAGGTACATGTCCGGTGGTGGTTCGGTCAATTCATTCTATTTATTAGGATTATTTCAGGGGGTTAGGGTTAGGGCTGAGGGTTTAGGGTTAGGGGTTAGGACTTAATCCAATACAGCAGGTACATGTCCGGTGTAATACGTGAGTACCATTTGTTGTTTTTCTTTTTGCATTTTAATATATACTTTTTTCACACAAAAAACGGGAAAACCCAAAACGTCGAAAGTACATTATGAAAAGTTAGGGTTAGGGCTAGGGCTAGGGGCTTGGGAGCTTGGGGGTTAGAGAGTTAGGGGCTGGGGCTAGGGCTTGGGGCTTAGGGTTGGGGTTGGGGTTGGGGTTGGGGACCTAATGCAATATAGTGGGAGTACATGTCCGGTGGTTCAGTCAATTCATTCTATTTATTAGGATTATTTCAGGGGTTAGGGTTAGGGCTGAGGGTTTAGGGGTTAGGGTTAGGGACTTAATCCAATACAGCAGGTACATGTCCGGTGTAATACGTGAGTACCATTTGTTGTTTTCTTTTTGCATTTTAATATATACTTTTTCACACAAAAACAGGAAACCAAAACGTCAGAAAGTACATTATGAAATGGGTTAATGTAGAAATTTTGGACTAATGGAAATTGGCCTGAATTTGCACTCAAGCCTCTTTCACACGCAACATAAATTTTGTTCAGTAATGATTCGAGGCTAACTCACCCTCGTGCCGTCACTACACATGCTCATGTCTCCCTCGTTTCTTAGTGCGATCCACATTATCCTTACAGTGTTCCCTACATCACTTTTCTGTCACAAAATCACCGATTTATATAAAAGCGCGTCATTCATGCATGCACCGTGAAATCTACGTCTGACGCCTGACGTCAACAACCCTTTTCAGTTTGAGGCATATCGGCTCATTCCACGCCACACGTTAATTTGTAGATTACGGAATGGGACGAGTGTGCCAAATGGCATCGGATCCATTCGGCAATTGTCCGAAGAATAAAATCACGCGACACCAAGTCTACCCGTAGCATTCGTAATTGTCCGTGACCTATTCGACTCTTTCCGTTCATTTCCGTGACGTCACAGGAATGACTCGATAAATTTGCACATTGTGCAACAGTGTGGACGTAGCTCAGTCGGTTAGCTGTCGAGCTAACAATCCGAAGGTCACGGGTTCGCGTCCGACGGGTCTCACAAACTGGTTGCTTGTCTTAATGACATGTGACCTACGGCAGAGATCGTCCTCACGAGAAGTTGTGGTGCTGTATTCTAAAGGTGCTCCGGAATGTCTGACCTCCATTTAAAAGACTATCTGAACTTCAATAAATGTGAAGAAGAGATCTGTGCCAAGGACAAATCACGGAAAGGTGAGAAACCCCATTTGATACCAGACTTTATCAATAAACCAAAATCATCTGTATCCAGTGATGAAACTCCCATTTTTTAGTGAGGGTGACAATAAGCTGTTCATGAGAAGTAACTCTAAGCCAACGCCAGAACAAGTCTCCTTATCTCAGTGGATTTCTGCTAATGCTAGGATATTACGCAAGCTAGTCGATGAGGGTAAAACTGACATGACTGGAGTAAAATCTTACCTGGATTACACTGCTCAGATTGGCGACTTTGCGCAGACCTACACCACACAGTCAATAATGTTACTTGATGACAAACATAGAAGGCGACTATCAGATGAAGGTAGCACAAGTTGGAATTGTGTAAATTTCCATGACATGTTCCACTACCTAGAAAAGAAATCTACTGCACCAAGCACAAGAAAGCCTCCCACAAGTTCAGCTCCTCATCATAGGAACAGACAAGTAGATCAGTTTGGGAAACTGATATGCATTAACTTCCAACACCCTTCTGGTTGTAAGTTTCCAAACTGTAAATACAGTCACACATGCCTTGTACCAGGATGCAATGAGAAACACCCACAGTTCGAACATCGCAAGGACAAGGAGGTGCCTCCTCGTTTCCGTCCCTCCATGTATTGATAGCCCCCTGGGTAAATGCTTGCCAACTTGTCAAGTTGAACTGAAGAATGACAAAGACTCAGATTTCATCCTTGATGGTGTTGTTAATGGTTTTCGGATTATTTCTCAGGATGCAGAACTTAAGCCTGTTAGGTGTAAAAACTATAAATCAGCTACAGATGAACATTCAAAAGCATTAGTTGAGAAACAGATTATTCAGGAAATTGAATGTGGAAACTATCTTCCATGTAAAAAACCTGTGACTATTATCAGTAGTTTAGGAGCCATTCCCAAAAGTGATGGCAAGGTAAGACTGATCCATGACTGTAGCAGACCAGTTGGTTACAGCCTTAACTCACATGCTACTACTACCAGCTTTACATATGAGACTATAGATAATGCCTTGAAACTGCTACCCCCCGGAGGATATATGGCCAAAGTTGACTTAAAACATGCCTACCGCAGTGTACCCATACATCCGGATTGCTATGCAGCTACTGGGTTATCTTGGACTTTTTCAGGTGGAATAATACCTAACTATTTTGTGGACACAAAACTTCCCTTCGGTGCCTCGATGAGCCCACAGGTTTTCAATCGTCTTTCTACAGCTATATCGAGGATGATGAAACGTAGAGGGTTTGTGATAGTTGCCTACATGGATGATTTTTTGATCATTGGTAAATCAGAAGCAGAGTGTCAAAACTGTTATGATACCCTACTTACCCTGCTAGTTAATCTTGGATTTACAATTAACTATGAAAAAGTGGAAGCACCGTGTCAGAAGCTGGTATTTCTTGGAATTGAAATAGACAGTGTGGCAAAAACATTATCATTACCTCATGATAAACTAGATTCGTTGAAAGTTCTTCTGAGGTCCTGGTCCAGTAAGAAGAAAGCAACAAAACGTGAACTTCAAGTGCTCGTGGGAAAACTTAACTGGGCATCTCGTGTTGTGTATGGTGGACGTACTTTTCTTCGTCGTCTAATCGATATCATGAACTCTTTAAAGCGCAGCTCACATCATGTGCGACTGTTACAGTCCTCTAGAAAAGATATTCAGTGGTGGATAACATTTTGCAAAACCTTCAATGGTACCTGCAGCTTCCTAGATGCTATTCCGGTGCCCGTGCATGATTTCTCCACTGATGCTTGTTCTACTGGTGGCGCAGCATATTACAAGAATGACTGGTTCTACTGCAGCTGGGAATCTGATTTTCCCAATATGTCGAATGAACACATCAACTTGAAAGAACTATTTGTTGTATATCTTTCAGCTAAGCGCTGGTGCAAGAGATGGCGCAATAAACGCATTGTTGTTTACACTGACAATGTCACTGCAAAAGCATGCATCAATAAGGGAACTTGCAGTAATCCTCTTGCAATGTCGTGGCTTCGTGACTTGTTTTGGCTGTCGGCGGTGCATAATTTCCGTCTATCAGCTAGACATATCCCTGGTGTCCTTAACTTCGCAGCCGACTCGTTGAGCCGACTACATGATCCTAGTCATCTAAGCAAAGCAGTGCCTTACCTTCAGGCATTACCTCATGACTGTGGTTCATGTAATTCCTTGACCATGCTGATGATCTGGGACCAACATATGACTGATAGGGCATTTACTTTTTTTGCAGGCCCAGTGGGAGAACAATGGACACTGCTTAGATCTGAATTGTTGCAGCTAAAAAGTCATTGTTATGCGGATTCAACTAAAAGGACGTACTCATCAATGAGGTCAGCATACCTGCGTTTTTTGCCTCTACTTTGGATTGAGACCTGTGCCAGCGGATACACTAACCATCCTACTGTATGTAGTGTTTCTCGGGCGGACACTGAAAGCAACCAGTATCCCCAATTATGTGAATGTTGTGCGCCTTATGCATGTGGAAGTTGGACTCCCAAACCCGACAGATAACTGGGAGTATAAACTCCTACTCAGGGGTGTCAACCGGTTGAAAGGTGTACCACCCAAACAGAAGTTGCCTATCACTGTTCACATCTTTCAGGAAATTCGTAACAGGATCAATACATCTATTGCCTTCTATAAGGCATTCTGGGCAGCCTGTGTTATTGCCTTCTTCGGCTTTCTCCGTAAATCTACATTGTTGCCCCGGAAAGAGAGCGATACCCCCTCTCATTGTCTCCTCATGTGTGATGCTAGCTTGTCTGATGACAAAAAATCTGCAACCATAGTGATCAGACACGCCAAGACAATTCAGTTTGGACAAAGAGTACTCAGGTTGCCCCTCCACTGGATTCCGGGCTCACCCCAGTGTCCAGTGAAAGCTCTAGACAACTTACTCCAGCTGTTTCCACCGTCAATCTCACAACAAGGTATTCCACTTTTTTCCTACTTGGACAATCATATACCTGACTTACTATACCTTTGTGAGCACCCTCAAGAAAATCTTGACTGTATGTGGATACAAGGCAGATGACTTTAGCGGACATTCCTTCCGACGAGGAGGTTGCACATTTGCCTTTAAAGCTGGACTGTCAGCACCGTTCATTAAACTGAGAGGTGACTGGAGATCCAATGCATATGAACGTTACATCACTTTAGATGATGAGTTACATGAGAGAGTGTCGCAAGTGCTCAGTTTGTATGTACTTTCTAGTTAACTGATCTTTGGGGGTTTGGAGGAAATTGCAGTGTTCGTACTGATTAATTACATGTTTGGATTTGTTAATGTTGTCAAGTTAAAATAAACTTGACCCTTTTCCCCCCCAAAGATCAGTTGTTGTGTTATCATTAGTATTGTTACACGTTTTGATAAACTATGGAAGGTTTAAGTCCAAATTAAGGGTATTTGACCCAAAGCCAACACACGACTTTACACTATAGCAACATGCACCACTGCACTTATTTGGTATTAAAGTGGACATGAGAGGGCTGTTTTGCCTTGTGTAGAACCGTCCTGCAGGGAACGATACTCAACAGTGTATAGTCACTGTGGTTGTGAGGTGACAAACAAAATGCCCGGGGAAATAGAGGTCGATATTCGTAAAGCATTTTGAATCATAAAAAAAAATCATGAGTTATTCCACGGCAGTAAAAAGCGGTGCAAACACAGATATCTCCTTAACTGTGAGAAACATCTGAAATGAACAGTAACATTTAATGATTGCTCCCTCATTCATACTGAATACTTGAGAATTGATCCGGTGAAGGTTTATTTGTCTTGGTTCGATTCCTGACTCGCTTACGTCATAGGATCATTATGGTTTTGCGCTGTTTTGAGCAATATCCCAGCGGGGAACACCGGAAATGGGCAGAACTGGGAATCGAACCTGAGATTTTGACGTGAAGAGCGAACGCTCAAACCAATTGGTTATCCACCGCCCCCGCATGGTGGTTTTTTAATAAATTGTTATAAACTGAGTTATAAATGAAATGACCGTTTCACTTGGGCCTGGCACCTTAAGGTTTTTTTCAATAATCATTATATTAGCGAGGGTTTAACGACGACATCTGGCACCAATTTAACTTTGTCTTCAGGATGACAACTACCAACGTAGCTGGTTGTCTGCTTTTGATATTACAACTCTTACATGTTTTGGAGTAGTAGCCATGTTGGGGGACAGTAGCCATGTTGGTGACAGTAGCCATGTTGGTGACAGTAGCCATGTTGGTGACAGTAGCCATGTTGGTGACAGTAGCCATGTGGGTGACAGTAGCCATGTGGGTGACAGTAGCCATGTTGGGGACAGTAGCCATGTGGGGGACAGTAGCCATGTGGGTGACAGTAACCATGTGGCGGACAGTAGCCAAGTGGGGGACAGTAGCCATGTGGAGGACAGTAGCCAAGTGGGGGACAGTAGCCATGTGGTGGACAGTAGCCAAGTGGGGGACAGTAGCCATGTGGGGACAGTAGCAGTAGCCATGTGACAGGAGCCGCTGGTAGCCAAGTGGGGACAGTGGGGACAGTAGCCATGTGGCGGACACAGTAGTCACAGTAGCCAAGTGGGGGACAGTAGCCATGTGGCGGACAGTAGTCAAGTGGGGGACAGTAGCCATGTGGAGGAGAGTAGCCATGTGGGTATGCAGCAACATGTCGGGTATAGGAGCCTGTTCGGTACAGTAGCAACGAGATTCACATGGCCGGAAATTTTAATGTTTTGTTATAATTAAACGATTCGTTTATCTTTCTCTCAAAAAAATATACAAATCCAAAACGTTTTGTTTTGAAACTAGAACAAATCATTCTCTTAATCTCCGCGATAAAGAACCACAGACGCACTCGCTACAAATGTGGTATGTACAGAAATATTAATTGCTCTTGAATATATCTGGCTTCACTTGTAATTGACATAACTTAGTGATGAATAACTGTCGTATATGGCAATACATACTGGACCAGACTGATCGGCATACCGAACAAATTGATGACAAAACGACGTAGATATTCCTTAATTAAAGCTACTAATTGGAATGACTGAATTATTGGTAGGGGGTCCTTTACCAATTGCACATAATGGGAGATGTGACCTTATGAAAAAGTACAAAGGGTGGCTAATAGAGATAATTAGCCAATGTGCTTTGCCAAACGTTGGCATAATACAGTTTCTCTTCCTAACATGGTATTTACAATTAATTTTTCTTTACAACATTATGTCGTTGTTTCACATATATGCTCTGTCATTGGAATGCCATTGAATTGCACCATCTATACAGTATATTTTGTGGTACAAATAGACTTGTGGCCATGTTTGTTTTTATAAATTTTAAGTACTCCCAAATTTTGAAACGTAATAAATATATTATGGATTTTTGACCGATATGCAAGTTGTCATTTACAGAGTATATCGGACTGGTTTACTTCATCAATAACGCTACCTAGTAAGTCATTAGCAACTGACCTGGTTGAATAAGCTGATGCCAAGGTAGTCGTCGTAGTAGGTGGTGAACAGGTTGCTGGAGTTGTCCATCTGGAGGAGGAGGATATTACAGTTAATGGTCAAACTAAAGACAAGGGAGGTGAAGATGATGATGATGATGACGATGATTGTAATGGTGAAAACGTGTGATACTGCTGTTGCTCATGTTGACACTAGCATACACAATGACGACGACTACGACTACGACGTCGACGACGACGACGATGATGATGACGACTACGACGACGACGACGACGATGATGATGAGATGACCAGTGTTTAAGTATAGTGTGCTAGAGCGGAAACTGGGATGATGATGATGATGATGATGATGATGATGATGATGACGATGATGATGATGATGATGAAAGATTGTAATGGTGAAAACGTGTGATACTGCTGTTGCTAATGTTGGCACTAGCATACACAATGACGATGACGACGACTACGACGTCGACGACGACGATGATGATGATGACGACTACGACGACGACGACGATGGTGATGATGATGATGATGATGATGATGATGATGATGATGATGAGGACCAATGTCTAAGTATAGTGTGCATAAAGCGGAAACTGAATTAAGCGTTTTCGTGTAAAATCATTACATTTAAAGATGGCGATGGCACATCCTTTGGTTTTACCGTCCAGCCCTCAACACACAAGCAACCATCCAACTAAACGACAGTAATACATTTTCACTTATGCACTTAAGCCATTAATTCCGTTTCAGACACTGTCAGCGTGAAACGTCTATTTCAAAGACTACAACACAAAACACTTTTCCGATTTGAAGAACACTGTACTCAATACAAGTGTTTTTACATGTTTCTAAAATAGTAATCTTTCAATCAATATTTGATTTTTAAAATGTCGTCGTTCAAGCTCTGGATGATGTTCTGTGATGTTCAGAGCGCTTGATTAAAGCACCCAGAATGTCGACCAGAATCTGACTTACAGTCATATAATGTAATACACTTATCGATAATGAAATAAGTAATGTCTATGATTACATTCGTACTATATGATTTCCAATCGATATTTAATATAAATCAGGGGAAGTAATGACACACTCACCATAAATGAAGCGGCCACATGCCCTGATCTCTCCTTGTCATCCGATCACGATATTTATGCCACGCCGATCATCTATCCATTGCAGAGAATTTCGCTTAGCTGGAAATATCATTCGGAACATTTCGCCAACGCATTTGGAAAGTGTTTTTGTGTAATTATATCCTCGGCTTGAGAGCGCAGACATATTTATGCCATCAACTCAGCTCTGACTGTTGTTTTGCTTTGCAGTGGAAATGACATCAGGATTACTGGATATATTTTGCGGATAATTCAATAAATAAGTTATGAATACCAAATAACGTGAACAGTTACACATAAGTATGTTTTCCCACTTGCATACATGAATGATTGTTAATGGAATGTTCAGAAGTACGAAGACTCTTAAATATGTATAATGGCTTCTCATTATGAGCATTAACTCATAATGTAGTTAAAGACGATGTCGATTTATCGTATTTCAGCATTGGGTATTGTTACATCGACATTTCGATTGAATGCATACGCATTATTCGACATAAATTGCCAAGCAACGAAAGGATATACACATGTTTGTTTGGATGGCGTATGAAAGGGAAAAAGCATGAAATTGCGATGAGTTGGTAATACTAGTATTACGAACGATATTATATGTGCCATGTGAATGAAGACCTCACAACACGTGATCATGCCCAATCTCTCATACCCACCACTCTTTCCTCCTTCCTAATCTTACATAGCCACCACGCTTTCCTCCTTCCCAATCTTACATAGCCACCACGCTTTCCTCCTTCCCAATCTTACATAGCCACCACACTTTCCTCCTTCCTAATCATACATAGCCACCACGATTTTCTCCTTCCCAATCTTACATAGCCACCACGCTTTCCTCCTTCCCAACCTTACATAGCCACCACGCTTTCCTCCTTCCCAACCTTACATATAGCTTTCCTCCTTCCCACTTTACGCTTTCCTCCTTCCTTCCCAATCTTACATAGCCACCACGCTTTCCTCCTTCCCAATCTTACATAGTCACCACGCTTTCCTCCTTCCCAATCTTACAAAGCCACCACGCTTTCCTCCTTCCCAACCTTACATAGCCACCACGCTTTCCTCCTTCCCAATCTTACATAGCCACCACGCTTTCCTCCTTCCCAACCTTACATAGCCACCACGCTTTCCTCCTTCCCAATCTTACATAGCCACCACGCTTTCCTCCTTCCCAACCTTACACATAGCCACCACGCTTTTTCCTCCTTCCCAATCTTACATAGCCACCACGCTTTCCTCCTTCCCAATCTTACATAGCCACCACGCTTTCCTCCTTCCCAATCTTACATAGCCACCACGCTTTCCTCCTTCCCAATCCTTACATAGCCACCACGCTTTCCTCCTTCCCAACCTTACATAGCCACCACGCTTTCCTCCTTCCCAATCTTACATAGCCACCACGCTTTCCTCCTTCCCAATCTTACATAGCCACCACGCTTTCCTCCTTCCCAATCTTACATAGCCACCACGATTTTTCCTCCTTCCCAATCTTACATAGCCACCACGCTTTCCTCCTTCCTAACCTTACATAGCCACCACGCTTTCCTCCTTCCTAACCTTACATAGCCACCACGCTTTCATCCTCCTTCCATCATCACTTACATAGCCACCACGCTTTCTCCTTCCCAACCTTACACTATCCACGCTTTCCTCCTTCACCCACTCCACATAGCTCTCACCACGCTTTCCTCCCTTCCCAATCTTACATAGCCCTCACGCTTTCCTCCTTCCAATATCCTCTTACATAGCCACCACGCTTTCCTCCTTCCCACATCTTACATAGCCACCACGCTTTCTCCTTCCCAATCCTTACATAGCCACCACATACAGCTTCTCAATTCCTGACAGCTTTCTCCTTCCCAATCTTACATAGCTACCACGCTTTCCTCCTTCCCAATCTTACATCAGCCACTACGCTTTCCCAGTCCTCAATCAATAACCCACTCCACATCCAGTCTTCTCAATCTCCTCACCCACTCCACATCCAGTCTTCTCAATATCCTCACTCCACTCCACATCCAGTCTTCTCAATATCCTCACCCACTCCACATCCAGTCTTCTCAATATCCTTCACCCACTCCACATCCAGTCTTCTCAATATCCTCACCCACTCCACATCCAGTCTTCTCAATATCCTCACCCACTCCACATCCAGTCTTCTAAATCTCCTCACCCACTCCACATCCAGTCTTCTCAATATCCTCACCCACTCCACATCCGGTCTTCTAAATCTCCTCACCCGCTCCACATACAGTCTTCTCAATATCCTGACCCACTCCACATCCAGTCTTCTCAATATCTTCACCCACTCCACATACAGTCTTCTCAGTATCACCACCCACTCCACATACAGTCTTCTCAATATCTTAACCCACTCCACATCCAGTCTTCTCAATCTCCTCACCCACTCCACATCCAGTCTTCTCAATCTCCTAACCAACTCCATATCCAGTCTTCTCAATCTCCTCACCCACTCTACATCCAGTCTTCTCAATGTCTTCACCCACTCCATATCCAGTCCTCTCAATCTTCTCACCCACTCTTCTCAATCGCTTCACCCACTCCACATCCAGTCTTCTCGATATCCTCACCCACTCCACATCCAGTCTTCTCAGTATCAACACCCGCTCCACATCCAGTCCTCTCAATATCTTCACCCACTCCACATCCAGTCTTCTCAATATCTTCACCCACTCCACATACAGTCTTCTCAATCTCCTCACCCACTCTACATCCAGTCTTCTCAATCTAATCCCTAACTCCACATCCAGTCTTCTCAATCTCCTCACCCCTCCACATCCAGTCTTCTCAATATCCTCACCCACTCCACATACAGTCTTCTCAATGTCCTCACTCACCACCTCCACATCCAGTCTTCTAAATCTCCTCACCCTCCACATCAGTCTTCTCAATATCCTCACCCCTTCACATCCAGTCTTCTCAATATCTTCATCCACTCCACATCCAGTCTTCTCAATATCTCACCCACTCCACATACAGTCTTCTCTCCAATATCTTCACCCACTCCACATCAGTCTTCTCAATCTCTCCTCACCCCCACATCCAGTCTTCTCAATCTCCTAACCAGCTCCACATCCAGTCTTCTCAATCTCCTCACCCACTCTACATCCAGTCTTCTCAATGTCTTCACCCACTCCATATCCAGTCTTCTCAATCTTCTCACCCACACTCTTTCTCAATCGCTTCACCCACTCCACATCCAGTCTTCCGATATCCTCACCCCTCCACATCCAGTCTTCTCAGTATCAACACCTGCCCACATCCAGTCCTCTCAAATTCCTCACTCACACCACACCCAGTCTTCTCAATATCTTCACCCACTCCACATCCAGTCTTCTCAATCTCCTCACCCACTCTACATCCAGTCTTCTCAATCTAATCCCTAACTCCACATCCAGTCTTCTCAATCTCCTCACCCCTCCACATCCAGTCTTCTCAATCTCCTCACCCACTCCACATCCAGTCTTCTCAATGTCCTCACTCACACCACATCCAGTCTTCTAAATCTCCTCACCCACTCCACATCAAGTCTTCTCAATCTCCTCACCAACTTCACATCAGTCTTCTCAATATCTTCATCCACTCCACATCGTCTTCTCAATCTCCTCACCCACTCCACATCCAGTCTTCTCAATCTCCTGACCCACTCCACATCCAGTCTTCTCAATCTCCTCACCCACTCCACATCCAGTCTTCTCAATCTCCTCACCCACTCCACATCCAGTCTTCTCAATCTCCTCACCCACTCCACATCCAGTTTTCTCAATCTCTTCACCCACTACACTTCATCCAGCTCGCTCCTTTCCAAACTGGCCGTGCAGTTACCTCCCTTAGGTATGCCTATCATCGTGGGTTTAAATCCCAGACCGCCCTGAATATGTACGTCTGTTTGCCAGCACCATGCCAACACTCTTGGGTTCAACCATAGTTGTAGACGTAATACAACTGCATCACTTAAGGATTCCCTCCATCATCAAGCTGACTCAAGAGTTAATGCAGCGTTAAGCAAAACAATCTCAATCATTCAGTCTCCCGTACCCACTCAACACGACCACTTCCTAATCAGTTATACTCTGCTTCAAGCTATGCATGTACATATCCGATTGGACCAGGGACAAAAAGGGTTAAAACAGCATCCCACACATACTCCATGTAATGCTGTTTTCCAACACGCTCAGCAACTTAGTTTAAGTCGCAAAAAGTAAGTTCGCCTCTTCTCAGACTTATTCCAATTATAAACAAGAAACGCTTTTCTAGCTGTACATGTTATTAAAGTGGTCGCCAGCCTGCATGTCGTCACGACCCTCTGTGTCAGTGTTTAACGGTAACTGCGGAGTACCAATAAACATGCACGCATTCTGTAACAGGAACCTGGATAACGAAGGAATATTCCGTTTCCCTAGCAACCGACTCTGCAGTCTGAGGGGAGTGAATCACCGTGAGGTATTGATTAAGCCAGAGTCGCCATTTTTCGTGGTTCCGATGTAAACAGAATGGGTAAAACAGGGTTGTCTCGTTGAAAAGGTATGTTTTATCTCCTTGTGCCACTTTCCTTGTGTGTAAATGCACGTGCATGTTGTATGTAGTTTGTGTTTGATAAGTATGCTGTATAGATCTTCAGTTTTCGTGATCATAGAATTTCAATCTTAATTACTTCAGTTGCGTTTGAGCGACCCGCGCAGGTTCCCCGATCCTGTAATACCGTCGTATTCTTTGTTTAAATCATTCTCAGCTAAGCTATTCCATGGCCTACAATAACATAATCTACACGTGCTGTTGTCATTAAACAGACAATGGAAGGTTTAGACTGGAAGGGTCGGAGGTTAAAGTACACATTTAGGAAACTTTAAAATGTCATATAATTTTTTAAGATGAAGAACTTACTACATCACATGACTAATTCGACTCCAATGATGAATGCTCATGCAGATATACAAATACATATCTCTTTGAAAGGTCGGAACTACAAATTAATTTATGAAAAGCCTCATCATCTTCGCTGCACGCACCATACGGGAGAGTTTGTGAATGTGCATTCATGCATTAACGAACGTGAATATGTCGTTCCTGTCGGCACCAATCGATGTGAAGGTATTCAAGTTCATTAATTACTTTAATTCATAAATTCTGAAGCTTCACCTCCTTTAAACTTCCTTGATCACCGGTGGACTGAACTGATTGGTTTGTGTTAACTGATTGCTATAATGAAGAGTCACCAGGGGAGCTGCCTTATAACGAGGGTTATTTATACTGTTATAATGCTGTACACCCGAGGTGGTCAGAACGTTAACTTCTGGTGGTTTGGGGCAAGAGAAAACATATAATACTATGAGTTCGTTTGCCGATAAAAGGTATTGGTATGAATTATGTGTAGTTTTCCTATTCCGAGTGATTTTGGGTTATTATTAATGGCCACAGTCAGCAGTATTCACAGTATTTGATGGCGGCATGTGTAAAAGCCGGTCCGACGATGGACGAGGAATTACCGAGCCTGGCCTCTTGATGTATTTACATATTTAGTGAAGGACATACTCTGTCTCCGAGTCCCTGTAGAATAAATAGGAGTTCTACTCAAGTCAAGAATAACTTTGCAAGTCAAGATTGCTGCATCTATTTGAAATAAGTATTGTTTGGGGTTTCACTTGGATTATTTCTAAGAAAGATAAGTTTATATCCAGAAACTAAATGTCAGTCTGCATGTGACATAACAAAAAACGGTCACAGTTTAAAAAAAACAACAAATAAATAAAGAAAGAAAAAACCCAAAACAACAACAAAAAAAAAAAAAAGAAAAGAAAAAGAAAAACCCAACACCCCCACCCCCACCCCCAACAACAAACAAAACAAAAACAACAACAAACAAACAAAAAGCAAAACAAAAAACCCAAACGGTTTAGCTAAACTAAACTGAACTACACGTTTAAAACTAGAGGGACATATTTACAAGGTTCTTTTCTCAAGTTGCACTAAATCTATTTTCGGCATTTCTGTCAATATGAAGGGGAGTTAACGTTGCTTTCACGATTACTACACTTTGATCACGCACATGTGTGTGTCTATCTGGTTTTGAAGTGCCAGCCCACTGAAATACGAAGGTGCAGTTTAGCATGTTCGATACTCCATTTAGACACAGTCAACTGACTCCGACACATGTCATCGTATCCCAATTGCGTAGATTGATGCTCATGCTGTAGATGACTGGATTGTCTGTTCCAGACTCGATTATTTACAGACAGCCGCCATATAGCTGGAATAAATAATCGAGTCTGGACCTGACACTCCAGTGATCAACTGCATGAGCATCGATCTGCGCAATTGGGAACCGATGACATGTGTCAACCAAGTCAGCGAGCCTGACCACCCAATCCCGTTAGTCGCCTCTTACGACAAACATGTATTGCTGGAATATTGCTAAAAGCGGCGTAAAATAATACTCACGCACGCTTTTGTGCGTAAACGTCACAGTCATCAGTGGTGAGTTTTGTTTTACGCCGCTTCCAACAATATTACAACCCAGAAACGGGCTTCACACATTGTAGCTATATGGAGAATCGAACCAGAGCTGTGCGTGATGAGCGAACGCTTTACCACTAGGCTACCCACAGCCCCATCTATTCAAAGACTACAAATGTTATGATCGGAATTTGATGTCTCCGCGGGATTCGCTACATCTGGAAATTTTCAGTTCTATGGAGATTGTACACTTCAACAATCCCCTTGAAAATATAAACATGCCAAAGGTAGCTTACCGAAAACCTAATTACCACAGCAAGCCCATATCTCTCTACAGGAAGCTTGCCAGACAGCCATAGCAACGTTGATGGGAAAGGAGTATTTGTAGCTTGCGATTGCATCATGGGAAAAGAAATAGCTCTTACTGGCCAGTAAGTTTATTTGCGTTCAATCATAAGTCTGGCGTGTATGAAAACGGATTAGTTTATTAGTTTATTTTAGGTATGACAGAATGTGATCATGAGAGACACATTGAATATTATTTCTCAATACTCAAGTGCTGTTTCCTCAAATTACCGATGTGATGTTCACCCACTCCATGTACGTATCTACGATGTTTGTCGAACTGCGCTGGTGACTCAAGTAGAGAATTCCTTGATGTGATGTTGATGGAATATTGCTGAAACGACGTAAAACCGCACTCACTCACTCACGCGAATGTTGATAGATGTATACATATCTGGGAAGTGAGTTTGATACACTATAGCGGCCATCTGTAAACCCGTCATTCATGCAGGAGCGACGCTATAGATAAGATTAATATTTCATTAAAGTCTCACCTCACTTAACGTGTTCATAAAATACAAAAACATACAATACACTCAGGGGTATGAGAGACTAGAAGACATAATAAAACATTTTTATATTTTTTTATACTAGATCTATATTGTAATGCATTGCTTTACGTAAACGGATGGGCGACTCGCAGTGACATGTGTTCACTATTTGTATGGGGTAGTTGGGTAGCCTGGTGGTTAAAAGCGTTTGTTTGCTTTAAGACATCGGTTCGATTCCCAAATGGGTACAATATGTGAAACCATTTCTGGTGTCCTCCGATGATCGTGATATTGCTTGAATATTAGAAAAAAGCGGTGTAAAATCATACTCACTCACTCACTCACTAGTTGTTGAACATCGATTCGATACATCGCTACGTTAAGATTTACAAAGAACTCAGGGTCAAGCAGATCACAACCGGAGCTTATCTGGGATTCGAACAACGACCATCTATGTATTTCTTGCATGGTCAAAGAGTGAGTGAGAGAGTTTAGTTTTACGCCGCTTTTAGCAATATTCCAGCGATATCACAGCGAGGAACACCTGAAATGGGCGTCACACATTGTACCCATGCAGGGAATTGAACCTGGGTCTTCAGCGTGACGAGGAAGGCGTTTCTGAACCTCATCTTCCGGCTTCCACAAAAGATTCTATATCCTTTTTGAAAGCTTACATATTCTTCACTTCAGCGCGTGATAATTGACAATATTCACTTTTAAACTTCAATATTTGTGTTACCATCCGCCCTGAGCCAATCTCGCCAAACAAGCGCCTCTCCTCATGTCTTCGTTCCGCAAACATGTCAAAGGGAAATGTTTGGCACAAACTGTATTGGTCTTCTCTCGTGAATGACCTGTGTACACATGGTTATTGAATAGTCGCTCCAAATCGACCCCCTGTGTCTGTGTGACGTCATAATGCTTCAGAAATACACCTCAGAACCGTCCCCATAACTATGTTACCAGTGCCTAATCAATTTAGGAAATTGAATTCTTTATCGGGAGATCACAGCGTGTAGTGGTAATCGGGTTTCTCTGTTCCCGTGTTCCTCTCATGTACCGCTGCAGTGTCGGGGTCGATCGGAGACGAGTTGCCACAGGATATCGAAGGGGGAATTATATGACGCTTGTTTCAACTGAATAACATACGTCGGAATTAGTTGGTAACTAGTGGCTGCGTTTTGGCGAAGGGTTTCGCGTTTATGTATGTATGTACATGTATGTATGAGTCAGTGTATGAAATAAGGCCCGCCCGACCGCCCGAGACGGTCTAGATTTCTGACGGACGGTCTAAATTTACAGCTAGCCAGCCCGATGGTCTGGTAAAAATGTTAGATGTTCCATACATCTGAGTAAATTCACCATATTTGGTCTGGTTAAATCCATTTTGGGCTGGTAACATTTTGAAGTTACCAGCCCTGATGTCTGACTGGAGTTTTGGCTTATTTCATCACTGTATGAGTGCGTGCGTGCGTGCGTGCGTGCGTGCGTGCGTGCGTACGTGCGTATGTGTGTGAGTCGCACTGCAAACAGCGTAAAAGCACACTCAGAAATTATTAAGACTCACTGAGCGCGTTATCTTCGCAATGTAGAGATATAACGTCCCCTATGAATAGTTTGTATCATAGTGAAACGGCTTCAATTAGGACAATACCGGGACAGCGGTAATTAAGGCGTTTGCTCGTCGCGCCAAAGCCACGTTCGATTCCTCACATGAGTACAATGTATTAATCCCATTTCCAGAGTCCCCAGCGGTGTTGACGTTCAAGTATTGCAAAGAGCCGTGTAAAAATATACTCACTCTCTCCAGACTGTGCCATTCCTGTCAAATTCGTCCGAAAAAACGAATTCTGAATTTACCATGTTGAAGTCATGTCTTCTTCATTTTTTCAAAAGATATGTCAGAAACGTCATGTGTATGTTTGCACTATACGTTCCCGTGTAGCATCTGCTCTCTACGTTACGCCGATACAAGGGTTCGGTAAGGCAAACTGTAGCGCAAGAGGGTTGCGCAACAGAGAGAAAATGACCAGTCTTCCTATATGCGCGCGCAGCATATACGAAGACTGGTCATTTTCTCTCTGTTGCGCAGCAACAAACAAATAAAAACACTCTCCCAAACAAAGTAAACACTGGTGATATGGGAACATAGTGAATGCAAACACGTGAAGCACTGACGACAATTCAGAAGAAGATTTACTTTTCTTAAATGACGTGGACAACATCGATGACTGTCCTACTTAATTCATTATTCACAGTCATGGTCCAATCAGATTCCAGCCCCAGAATGGAGTGTTCATGACACTCTGTTGTTTGTGGGATGATGCGAGAAGTTTGGACCGTGTGATCAGAATCGATGGCCCGGCGGACTGTCACGGAGCTCGTGATATCAACCACTGTATATATTTTATCTGTCCCTGATTCGTTTTACCTGGTTTTATATAAGTTACGACGTAAATTTCTTTTGTTCGCCGAACTGTAGTGCTGTTCCAAATTCACCCGGGCTGTGGAGTAGCCTAGTGGGTAAAGCGTTCACTCGTCACGCCAAAACCCCCGAGTTCGATTCCCCACATGGGTACAATATGTGAAGCCCATTTCTGCGACCCATGATATTGCTGGAATATTGCTAAAAGCGGAGTAAAGCCATACACACTCACTCACTCACTTACGTATGATATAAATACAGTTATTCAACCTGAACACGACATTACAGTGTGTCAAATTCATGCGCTTGCGACCTTTCTCTCTTCTATGTGACATTCAACGGCCTACGCCAACATCAACATCCTAAGGTCAGACTCTGTGTAATGTAACGACACTGACAGAAACCTAGCCACGCGAGTAATCATGGAAAGTGGAGTGTAACTGGGGTGAATTTCTCATATATTGTCACGACTGGCCACATATGCTTGGTCTCTTCCTACCGTCTCTGTGAGATGTAGTTATCGATTTATCTACGTTATCGTGGTCTTTGGTGTAGTCATTTGTGATTTGTAATTTGTGATTAGTGCTTCCCCATGCTGTTATTCCTTGGTTGTTATGCACACGAGATTTTTCGTTTCTGCGTATATTTATTTGTCGGTTTGTTGGTTCCACTTTTTTGAGAGTTTTTGCTTCTCTTTGAGATCAAATATATTCGGTTTTTGTCATCAAATTGCTTTCTTGTAATCTTCTAAATGATTTATTGCACTTTTTATATCGATATTTCCTGATGAAAGGGTGATAAAGGCGTGTTATTGCGTTATGTAGCACTACTATCAATCATGTTCACGAGTCGAGTTTAGATAAACACACGAATAGATCAATCGAACCTTTGTAATTTAGAAATCTTTAAAAGTAATTAAACGATGCTGCAGTTCTGAATCAAAACACACATCATGAAAATTAAGACATTAATCAAAATGTTAGGGCATCTTCTGAATCTGTTATACGTGGTTTTTAATGAACCCCATTTTCATAATGCTTGTTTTTCAGATTTAACCCTCGGATATATGGGAAGTACCTTTCAAGATGGCATTTGATAAAGACCGAGTATTATCTCTGCAACTGGTTGGAGGTCGTGTTCTGATTGTCATAATCATTGCTATCATCGTTACTAACCTTTCTCTCATCGCTTCCATATTGTGGTCATCAAAGCTTCGATGTCGTCTACGGAATCTCGCCATTTGCTGTCTGTCCGCCTCAGACCTTCTCCTAGGCTTGTTCGGGGCGTCTCTCATCGCCGACAGGTATATCAGGAATGACTGGGTGCATGGTTGTGTCACTCAGTTGGTTATGTTCGTGTTCATGAATCACTCCCAGGAGTTTGTGGCCACGTGGTATATCGTCCTGCTCAACATTGACTACATCATGCGACTATTTAACATCAACACAACAGTGTTATCGTCCCCCGTCAAAACACTTCTGTACGTTGTACTCTTGATACTCCCGTGGGCTGCAATGTGCGCTGTGGTCATTCCGATATACTCCTTCCGAATACACCCGAATGTTCGCGAAATGTGGCGACCCGATTTCTGTCCTCCAATCATCCCTTACAGTCCCTTTGCAACCATGACAACGCTTGGTTTCTTCGTCCCAGCTGCCATTATAATACTCACGTCAATTGTCATGGTCGTTGCTCATATCATTCAAAAAATGAAACTAGGTGAATCCAATATGGCCGCCAATTTCATTGGTATCCGAGACTCTCCTACCGAGACTCTTAGCAGTACAGTAGAACACCCCATGTGTTTCATCATTCCCGGAATACTAACAGTTGCGTTACATCTGCCCTTGAGTATATTTCATCTGACTCCAGGTGTGTGGAACAACTATGAACGTGGACTAACGTTATGGATTGCGCTTCTGATAATACGCGTCTCCAAGGCGATGTTGGTGCCAGTGTCGTGGCTTACCATTCCCGACATTAGAGCGGAAGTGAAGACCAGTTTCACGTGCATGTGCTGCACCAGACAAGCTTCGGGCGAGGGTAACGGACATGCCACCTACAGACGATTTACAGATGACCAGACAACTCATAATGACGACCCAGTTGTAACAATCTCATGTCGATGATTGACCAGCAGGAACTGTCTTCCTGATTATAGTGCAAACCTTATCGAATTTTACCGGTGCCATCTTGAAAAGGTTTAATTAACAGGATGGTGGCATTTGTAGTGTGGTGTGTACCTATCAACAATGGAAACAAATGCCGGCAAACAGGGTTAAGAGTCACCGAAACATGCAGCCCAATCGACAGTATTTGTATTTCATTATAACTCTGTTGTATTTACCTTTGTTTTATGCGATGAAGAGTTCCATGAGTTACCATTATTATACCATACTTTCAGCAGGTTGGCACTATGGATGTTTCATTATTTTTCTCCTTTTCCTCATACGATGTTCTTTATCTGTCTCTCGCACGTATACTTAACGATGTGATTGTAAATATAATTTTAAGAATCTTTTATGTTTAATTAATAATTTAATTGTAAGTATATGTATGTGTTCAGCGTCTGACTGACCACAGACTCACCCATCTTGACCACTGAAGACGATATGACCAGCCAAAACGTACGACACAGGTTTACATAAATTTGCAGGTGGAACTTATCACTAAACACAAGGCTTCATGCAATGGTCACATTCGCATGTCCGGCTATTGATCGACTGTCAAATAATGCTAAAAATACTGGAATTAAAGCTTGCTGTGAACATAATTTATTTGATTAGTGAACTTGAAAAAGTCCCTGTGAAGAGAGAGATTAAGAACTTCTTGACTACGTGGAAGGGAAAGCAATTTGGTTAAGAGACAGACTAAATTGTTACATAGTGTCGTTGTCAGTGGATTCTACTCTAGACGCGCACCCACAAGGTACATGGTCAGTAGGTATTTACTATTAGAAGTAAATCTGAAACATTACAGCTGCTGTATATGGATTGTTATAACGCAACTATCAATATGTGTCTATGACAAGCAATAACCAATCAGCACTGATGCTAACTGCCAACGAGTGTGGAATGAACGCTTAGTCCAAGATCAAAAGCAGTGCCATTGAAGAGCCATACCTTGACTAAAAAAGATATCGACACAAGATTTTGCATAGATGTCTGTTGTCCCAGTGGTGCCTAGTTCTAGAATTTGTAAGTCTGCCTATGCCTAATAGTGGCATTGTGTAATTTCGGCCATCGTTAAGTTTTCAATGGCATGTGGTGTTCGTGGGACTTCCATACAATATGCTCATTTTAACAGGTTATTATCAATCTGTCCAACAATCTGAAGCCTGGATGAATCATTATTAGGGTTTTCGTAACGCCTGAACAACGAATTGTAATGCGTGAGAAATACAATGTACATGTGGAGTGAGTAAGTGAGTGAGTTTAGTTTTACGTCGCTTTTAGCAATATTCCAGCAATATATCAACGGTGGACACCAGAAATGGGCTTCACACATTGTACCCATGTAGGGAATCGAACCCGGGTGTTCGGCGTGACGAGCGAACGCTTTAACCACTAGGCTACCCCGCCGCCCCGTACATGTTGACGTGTGCGGTTGGCGGCGTCCATTTGTTCCAGCGTTCTGTGTTCACGTCACTTGAACGTCGCTGGTTGTTGTATTTGCACCTATATTATCACGTCATACTCGACCATAACGTTTTACGTTGGTCCGCATAAATCCACTGTATTATCTCTCATATCTCATTAAAATCAGATAGTTAACGTCTATCCTCCGAAGAGGCAATTCTAGATAAGCGGACAGTAACTACCCAAGTCTGTTATTTATTATTTTTTAGAAATTATCATTTGAACTATTATTATTTTCACCTTAGAAACTTGAGCAAGTCTATGCGATGCCTGTCAATGTGAAGGTAGGAGGACACCATCACAGAAGGTCGTGTCAAACGATCCCCTGAGTGAACTTTGACCCCAATCCAGGGTGTGTGTTATGTTTCAGCCAATCAGTTGTCAGATTTATGAAACAGTTCATCGTCATTTCCGATCAGCAGAAGAAAACTTACACAGAACACATATACGCCTCTTTCGGTATATTGGCAAGGCTCTACAGACGAAAGAATATATATGAATTATTCAAAGCACTAAAACAGCGCGAGAATAGCAACTCGGCGCTGATTGGCTGATTAGAAAGGTCATCTCACGTGACCACCCTCGCAATGCCCTTCACGCAGAGAGATACCCGAGTGAACATTTTATCTAATGAGGCTGATAATATGTCCATTCGCCACCACAATCGGCATTTCAGAATGGACGTTATCATGTCAGTATCTCTGCTACGACCTTGTCAGTCTGTGGTTATGCTGATAAGAGTAATATTTATAGTTTCAGTCGAATCGGGTTCAAAATGGCGAATGGGGCAATGGTAATTATCTCTAAGAGTGGCGATATTATGCTCTGGGTAATTGGGGATGTCATAAGTGGCCTTGCATTAAGATGCAATCAAATAGGCATTCGTTACCTTCTTCCAGGACAAGCCGAATACCGATTTACGGAAAGAGGAGAGTGGTGACGGTTGCCTTCTTGCACTTTACGGAAAGGGGCGAGTGGTGACGAATGTCAAATAGGGAAACTAGTTATCTCCCTTGTCCTATCTCCCAACATCACGACCTGGTTGTTCATTCTCTTGCATGAAAAATATGATGATACTTCTGTCCAAATTATTGATAATATATGTATATAATGAACTATAATGAACTATATATGACTGACTGATTTTTCAGATTTTAAAGTTTTTGATTGTTTAAATGTTTTTCTTCACAAGCAGAATCTCCATTGTTGGCGATGACGTCATCGGTATCGTTCCTCGTTAGACTAGCTGTTGCTGTGCAATATTTTCTTGTAGTTACTCAGTACATATATTGTGAGAACGTTTGACAGACATTCTCAAGTTGTAAAATAATGAGCGTATGAAAGTTTTTGGTTGGAGGTACTTCAAGAATGAAATATATGTTGATATGTTTGTCAAGTTGTTGACACCTGCTCATTCCTGTTTCCCGTACGGTGACATGTGTACAGGTATTGGAGAATAAACTATTACTGAGTATTTTGATACAAGAATTGTCAGCTTTTGTGTTATTACCACACCCTGTATGGTATCTTCTACTACCTGCTTCTTGAAGGATTTTACATATTAACTATGTGTAACTTTCATTCCCGGACATCCATTATAGTAACCAGGGCATCGAACCGAAGACCGGATGGTCGGTTGGGTGGATAGCTTAGTGTCAAATGAGTTAGCTCAACACGCCAAAGACACATGGCTCGTTCCCCATGTGGAGGTCATTTCTCATGTCCACGGTCATGGTAGACGAATGGTTAAAGCTTCACCTCGTGACGCCGAACGTCGTGTTCGATTCCCACCACGGGTACATGCTGAGTAAGAACCATACTTTCAGACTGTAATGCGGTATGTTAAGATAAAACTTGTGTCAACAGAACAACGATCAATCTATTTAGTTGCATAGACATTCGTATTGTTTAGTATCCAATGTCGTTGAAGTAGCACTGAGATACTAACCTGTGATGAATACTAACCCTCTCACCATTTGTCGTATTTCCTCCAAAACACCTCCCGGTATTCAGACATAATAATGACATGGTGTTTACTGGAGACCAAGCTATGCTTCGAGTCTGCTTTCGGCGCAGCGTCTGTTAGATCAACTACTGTTGTCTAAGATTCACCTACTAACAGCACGTTTGTGATGGCACGCCTGGCGAGTCTCTAGCATTCTGATCAAGTTTTGGGACCCGTGAAGATCCGGGTTAGAATATTGATCTTCAGTAACCCATGCTTGTCGTAAGAGGCGACTAACGGGATCGGGTGGTCAGGCTTGCTGACTTGGATGACACGTGTCATTGTTTCCCAATTGCGCAGATCGATGCTCATGCCTTTGATCAATGGATTGTCTGGTCCAGACTCGAGCATTTACAGACCGCCGCCATATAGCTGGAATATTGCTGAGTGCGGCATGAAACTAAACTCACTGACTCACTCACTGATCAAGTATTGGGACTCGAACCTCCGTACTTCCGACACTGTTTATAAGTTACAAAAGACCATTTACCATAGCTATCAAAATGATTTTGCTCGAGGTCAACAGTAACCCGTACTGAGCGTTTTTGAAACCTTCAGGATGACATTTATAGAAAGGAAAAGGTCAGTTCCACATTCTGAACTGATGACTGGATGCAGAGGAAGAATAATGGTCCACATTATCTCCGATTTGTCATTATCTCGAAGTCAACTGCATACGAGCCGTCGTGACAGGATTGCAATATAGCTGATTGCGGCTGAAAAAACCCCTCGTCGTTCACCTTGCTGAGGATGTATAAGATATATATATATAGCGGCTGAATAAAAACTCGCCGTTCACCTTGCTGAGGATGTATAAGATATATATCTAAGCGGCTGAATAAAAACTCGCCGTTCACCTTGCTGAGGATGTATAAGATACATGTATATAAATATATATATTAATTAC